ACTTGCAGTAATCCTCCAACCTTTGCACTTGGCTGCTTCTGCTTCTGTTCTTGATGTGCTATAATCCATCTCACTTGGAGCAGTAGGAAGGATTTTATAAACTTTTAACCAGAGCATGATGCTTCCCTATTAAAAATACTCTAATACAGCTTTTTATCATACTTTGAATTAAATCTCAACTGGCCTTCATGGCCGACCAGGTGTGACCCCCTGGGTCTCTGTGATTCTATCACCTTTGTCAGCCAGCCCCTCTCATACACCTGGTCTTCCAGCCACAGTGACCTTCCTGCTTGGTAAACGGCCCCAAGCTCATGGTCCTCAGCCTTTACAGTTGCTGCTCAGCCCTACCCAGTCTTTGCATGTATGGCTTTCAGTTCATGTGAGCAGCTCAGGGAGGCCTAGGGGACCACTTCTCTTCATCATGCAGCTCATTTAAAAATATGATATTTTCTTCACATTCCTTATCTTCCATTGGAGTAATACTGTTCATTATTTTTTGTCTTCTTTCATTAAAATGTAAACTCCATGAGCAAGGTCTTGTCTAATCTTTTTTTTTCCCCCACTCTAATGGGGATTGAATCCAGGACCTTCACACTGAGTTACATCCCCAGCCCTTTTTAAAATTTTTAAATTATGAGACAGGGTCTTGCTAAGTCACTAAGTTGCCCAGGGTGGACTTGAACTTACCATCCTCCTCCCTCAGCCTCCCAGAGTGCTTGAATTACAGGTGTGCACCACCATTTATGCATGCATGAAGCTCTAGGTACCCAGCTTTGGAAGGCAGAGGGGAGAGAATGAGTGGGAGGTTACAAACACCACGGCTCCAGGCTCCAGTTGAATATTAGCTCAATCCACTTGATATTTCCAAGAACCTGCTTTTAGGAGTCCTTGTTTTATTTTAAGGTCTAAAAGCACCCTCTACAGGGGTGCTCCAAATATAGAAGGCAAGCCTCTTTAATTGCTGGTGTTTCTGTTTAGCTTCTTTGTGTAACTATAATCTTATAAGAGCTCACTAGATCCATCCAGGAAAGTAAACAGACCTGAAAGTCAAGAAGAGTACTCCCTGGGTGAAATATTTCCTAATTACAGTACTAATGAAGAAGAGGAGAGTGAGCAAAAACATGAAAGTCTCTTCTTTATTTTAGCTTGCATGCACTGCTTTAATTATATATTTCTCGTAATTTTCCCTTCTCATTTTAAAATTCTGATAAGACCTTTAATTTTTCTAAGATTGAACTTGTTTTAACCAGCCAAAAAAATATCTCTTAAACTGGAGATTGCATCCATTTGGAAAAAAATCACATAAGATTAATGCCATATTAACTATTGACATTAATGAGGCCTTTAAACTACATGGTAAAGGATATTCTTACTGTTAAGTACAGGCGACTTCAGTGTTTCCTACTGAATGTCCTTTGTAGGTTAGTTAGTAAACAGGAAATAGGGCAGTTTGGGTCCCACTTAACCTTCTGGCACAGGAATTTAAAGACTTGTGTGAACTCCAGAGGAGCAAGGAATCATCACATTTCCCAAAATACAATGCAAGACCTGGAGCTAACATGAGCTTTCACACGTAAGAAATGAGAGAGCCAGGGGCATGTGCAATTGCAGCAAACCCAGCTCAGCTGCCATCACGTGCCCCTGTTCTCCACAAGCTCCAATCCCATCATCTCCTTTGCAGGATGCCCCACTCCCTTTTCACGTGCTGTTTCTTCTGTCTGATACACCCCCCTCTCACACCAAAAGTGTCCCCTGTCAAGACAAAGTCTAACTGTACATCCTTTGGGAAGTCTCTAGGTTTCTGACATTTGCTCACTGAGAACTGTACTATAATATAGTTGCTGAAAACAGAGCTTTGTAGTCGCACCAAACTTTGTTTGAATCCCAGTTCAGCTAATGCCTAGCTACTGAATTTAAGAAAACAATTATTCTCAATCTGAGCCTTATCTAGAAGAAATGTCATGTCAGTACAATCACTCTGATGACAGAACTTTGGATGGAATGGACAAGTCCATGAGAGGATGAAATGTTTGTCAGAATCCTGTCAGGGAAAAAAATCAATCTTAACCAAAAATGCAGAAAAAAATTCATGGCTAGAAATGGATTCTAATCAATGTTTTTAGCAAAACCATTCTGAAGGTATAGATTTCGCAAATGTTTTCTAAGACTTATAACACCTTTATGACTAAATGTTTTAAAATAAGTCACTCAGTTTTTGTTAGTTGTTTTTACAAATACTCGAAGTTCCTATAGCATCTTCTCTTTACCCCAGGAATGCTTGAGGAGTCTGGTGAGAATAACCAGGACTGAAGGTCCAAATGATTTTAAGATTCATTCTTTCATGCTAGCAATACTGTCCATGCCTTAGAGTCTGTTAATGACCAGAGCTGGTAGGAAGTTTTAGCACTACTCTACTTCTCCTCTGTCCACCTCAAAGCTCTCCTGGAACTCTTCTGTGAAGCCTGGAAGAGGAGTGATGAAGCTTAGGAAGGAGGTGGTATAATTCAAGAAACAAAGCTACTGTGATAAAATCAGCACGGTACTGGCAAAGGAACAGACCTGAGGATCAGTGGAATAGATTAGAAGATGCAGAAACAACTCCAGACATACTCAGCCACCTCATCTTTGACAAAGGAGCCAACCACCCTCATTGGAGGAAAGAGAGCCTATTTAATAAATGGTGTTGGAAAAACTGGATTTCAACCTGCCAAAGATTAAAACTAGACCCATACCTATCACCACGCACTAAACTAAGGTTGAAGTGGATTAAAGATATAAATATTAAGACAGAAACACTAAACTTGCTGGAAGATAAGTTACGTAGAACTCTTGAAGACATTGGCATAGGAAAAGACTTCATGAACAAAACCTCAGCAGCACGGGAACTAGCAAAAAGAATCAACAACTGGGATCTCATCATATTAAAAAGCTTCTGCACTGCAAGAGAAACCAGCAACAGAGCTAACAGACAACCTACAATGTGGGAAAAAATTTTTAGCAACTGTACCTCAAACAAAGGACTACTATCTAGAATATATAAAGAATTGAAAAAAATCAGGGCCCCCAAATTCAAAGACCCAATTCAAAACTGGGCATCTGAAATGAACAGACATTTCTCAGACAAAGAAGTAAAAGCAGCAAATATATGAAAAAATGTTCAACATCACTGGTCATTTGAGAGGTGCAGATGAAAACAACACTGAGATTCTACCTCACCCCACAAAGAATGGCTGCTATCAAGAAATCAACCAATAACAAATGCTGGTGGGGCTGTGGGGAAAGAGGAACCCTGCTCCATTGTTGGTGGGAGTGCAGACTGGTGCAATCACTGTGGAAATCAGTATGGAAATACCTCAAAGAACTAGTACTAGAGGTCCCATTTGACCCAGCTATTCCCCTGCTGGGGATCTTCCCCAAAGAATTAAAAGAATCATACCACAGTGATATATGTGCACCCATGTTTATAGCGGCACAGTTTGTAATAGCTAAAGCTTGGAAACAGCCCAAGTGCCCATCAACTGGAAACTGGATAAAGAAAATGTGTTTTTTTAATAAAATGGAGTACTACTCAGCCGTAAAGAATGAAAAACTAGAGTCATTTATCGCTAAATGGATGCATATCTCGAGGACATACTCTTAAGTGAAATAAATAGGACACACATGTGTAAATACTGAATAGTTTCTCTAGAGTGAGAAACTGATAGTGTAAACAAGGGTTAAAATGATTAAAATGAATAATTGATAATTTGAAATAGGAAAAAAGTCCAAAGACGAAGGAGTGAAGGGAAGGGAAGGGAAGGGGAAAGGTAAAGAGGGAAATTAAAAACTATGAGAAAAGAAAAAAAATGGAAATGAAATCTATGTAAATAGGAAAGGGTAGAGGGGGTGAAGGGTGCACAGGTAATGGGGGAAAAAATAAGAACCAAGATATATCATGTACAAGTACAAACACCCAATGATAAATGTAAATGAATCGTATACCTAAAATGTACCAATAAAAGAACTGAAAAAAAAAAAAGAAACACTGAAGCAGCTCTGCTCCCAAATACCCCAGATGCGGTCTACTCAGAAGAGTAAAGGACAAAGCACTGTTGAAAGCAAGTGCATTAGGTGGGAGCACATCTCCATCCAGATTTGGCAGATGAGGACAATATGAAGCTCTAATCCAGGGTAACTGATCTCTTATATTTGCAAAGTCTATTTTCTGGCTGAGCTGGGACCTGAATCCAGGGCTGTGTGACTACAAAGTTATACTTTTAAGCCCTGCATCTGCTCTTATGCCCTCAGCCTCCCAGTCCCTCCAGCCATAGTGAGCAGGTCGTGTCTTTAACACAAGCTCACAGGCTAGGCAGCCACAGAGGTTGTGACAACTTTCTGCATGTTCTCTAGAAGAGGACTGTGGGGTTGAGCTGACGTTGTATTTTGTTGAAGAACTTCCTAACGCCAGCTGGCAGAGGAGATACATTCCGGGGTGGAGAAGGGCTCTCATTAGACCAAATCACCTACTCAAGACCAACAAGCTGCTGGAAACTGTGAAAAGATGTGATACATGACAAGCCTTCATGTCTATGGCAACCAAGCCATATGCAACCCAACAAGGATTATTCTAGGGGTTGTTGATTTACCAGCCCCAGGAAGCTGATGCTTCTAGAATCTCTGGACCTGATGCATAGGGCCATATCTACAATTTGGTACTCTTGTTTGAAGGCCATGAGTGTGGGGAGAACTGTAGAGAAATGAATATTCAGATCACAATGCTTTTCTTCCTGCCTACAGACACACAGTGTCTACTCAAAGCCACTGCAAGGGAGTTTCCTAGCACTGTCCAGAGGACTGGATGCTGATCCCTCAGAAGTGCAAAGCTGCAAACTGGGAGAACACAGCCCCAAAGAGCAAGAGCCTTAGAGTCAGGGGCTCCATCGCTGGGAAACTCGAGGGCAGCTACATGCTGGTCCTTTTGTGCTGTCCCTCAGGCTTCTCTCCAGGGCCCCAGCACTCACCTCCGCCTGCCAGATGGGGTTCACGGTGTTGCCTATGATCTTGGATCTCCTCTCCTGCCCGTGATGAGGGAGGGCAGGGAAGATGCTGTGCTTCCCAGGCTGGATGGAAATCTTCAGATATGGGTCTGGGTTGAAAAACATCCCTTTCTTCAACCCCATGGCCTGGAAATCTATAAATAAAGTATATTTTATTTAAGTATGTTTTAGAAGGCTAAAGATCACATTAGGTTTCATATACTTTTCCACCTCATTGCAAATATACCGATGTGTGTGTGCAATATGGAACTTTTATTGGCACATATTAAATTGTATTTTAGCAAGAAATTCTTTTAATAAATCAAACTAACTGGGACTATGGTCAAGACACTTTGGACCGTCGAGAGGACTATTGGACCTTACTGCACTGGATTTCTGCTGTTCCTCAGGAAGGGCATAAAGTGGTTAGGGTGAGGAGCTCAGGGTCACTGAGAAAGGTGGTGGGCACAGAAGGAGGGAACTCCACTTCGGAAATGTGATGGGTCTAAGGTGTAAAATTCCTCCACCAGGTACAGACATAAGAAGCACAGAGTTTCACAATAAAGGTGTACTTCACTGAATAGGGAGAAATAAAGAGAAAGGCGAGGATTAAAGAGCAAAGAGAATGGAAGTGAAGGAAAGAAAAAGAAAATAAGTCTTCCACAGAGCTTGGTGCCATCCATGAGGAGAGCTTTAAGAATCCATGCTGCCGGGAAGTGCAAGATGACAATTTGAACTGTTTAATTTAATTGAAGATGTTTGCTCTCATACAATTTCATGAGAGAGAGAGAGAGAGTCAATTTAGTTTTTCTGGGATCATTTAAATCACTTTGTATTTATTGGAAATATGTCTATGATATTGTCAAGTAATACAACTTTTAAAGGTTTCCTATTTTTTTTTTTTTTGGTACTGAGGATCGAACTCAGGTCCTTGCGCTTGTGCAGCAGGCAGTGAAACCACTGAGCTAAATCCCCGGCCCAAAGCTTTCCTAGTTTTGAAGTATCTTTTAAACAGAATTATTCACATTTACATTCAAGTGAAACAAACTAAGGCGAAGATACAATCAGTGATACTCAACCATGGTATAAATTGTAAGGCATTTACATAATTTTTTACCAATGGGGGGAAAACAGTGTTTTCATGTACATTTACTTAAAAGTTATTCTGAGTGGACTCAATATGACCTGCGTAATGAAATGATTCTTACTGTCTTGCATTATGGTATATTGCCACAACGGGAAAAGGCAGAAAGAACAAGCACCATGGCAATTTATAAAACTCAGGCTATGCTCATAGGAGTGCTTGCAGAAAGAAGTTAACAATGGCAGGCTGAGACAACTTGCCTGTTCATATGGCGAGCTCTTAGATAAAATCTGGGAAAGTGGATTTCAAGAAGTTCCCACCTCCCTAGAACTGGTAAGAGTGGCTGTTTGTGTAAATTTGTGGTTTATCATGGATGCTGTTTTCTTCTTGGGAGTCTGGGATTTGGTACACCTAACATAAGATGCCCACCCACATAACCTGCATACCCCTCCTAGTAGCAACCATAGCATGAAGTCTTTGATAAGCTTTCCTGATAGACAGCATTGCACACAGAGAGCCACAGCTCGAGCTAGGAGGATTACATATGTGCTTCAGGCCAGAAGTCTACTCTGGCTGTATTTGAAAATGTTTTTAAAAAGTGAGGTTTGATGAGCACTTGTTTCTTTATATACATTTTTTCTTTTTAGCACTGGATGATAATGTAAGGACTCATCATGATCATTGGCTCAGGAAAAATTTTCTTCTATTTTTTCTGTCCCATTTATTTTGATTTCTTTACTAAAAACCCTAATTCTATGTTTACTCTCTATGTGTTGTCATTCTTTTCCTCCTCCTAAGCCTTCTCATGTATTGCCTTTACTTATGCATGCTAGGAGTGAGTTTTAAATTAGCTGGCCATGTCATTGATTCCAAATCTTAGTAGATGGTGCTTTACCCTGCTTCCAAGAGCTCACTTTTCATTCTGATTGCACACTTTTAAAATTCACTTTAAACCTTTTCTTGACTGTAGTGGACAGAAAAATGACTTCACAAAGATGTTCATGCCTTAATGCCTGGGGCCTGTGAATATGTTACCTTTCCTGGCAAAAGGGGCCTTCAGATTAGATTAAGGGACTTGGGATAGGGACATTAGCTTGAACTATCCAGGTGGGTCCAGTGCGAGGGCCCTTGTAAGAAGAAAGCAGGAAAGCAAAGTGTAGAAGACAGATGATGACCGAAGAAGAAATCAGAGCTATGCAGTCATGAGCCAAAGAATGCTGGCAACATCTAAAAGTTGAAAGAGGCAAGGGATAGATTTGGACTGGATCCAACAGAAGGGATCAGCCCCTCCAGATTCATTCTGGATTTCTGACATCTAGAACAATGAGAATACAGTGGTGGTGGTTTCAACCACTGTTTGTAGTCATTTGTTATAGCAGCAATAGGAAACAAATACACTTTGCCTTCTGAGTTTTTATTTCTTCCAGCTTTGAAGAACTCTTTTATCATCTTTCTCATCTCAATATACATATTTACTTGTATGTTGCTCACGTTTTTGAATTTTATTTATGGTAAAGCTGGTGAGTGATAAACACTTCATTTATTTTTAGTACATGCCTGTCAGTAAGAATAATTCTTTTGTATCTTGTGTTTGTATTCTTCAATTTACACATTCTTTCTCCACACACTCTTCAAATCAAGATTTCTGTTATTCATGCATGAAAAGGTCTTTTAGCCTTGATGTTTGGCCATCTTTAGTTTGGTTGTCCAGCTGGTTGCCACTGGAATCTTTATCCCTGCTTCTATACTTAGAGCCAACCAGTGTCTAATTAACTTACTGATGCTTGATGGGATTTGCTTAGTTACAGATGAGCTGACCTTTTTTATCTTGTCTTTCTTTGAGGCATGGAATTTATTTTGATACTTTCAGGAATACATATTTTTTCCCTAGGCAGACATAACGAATTAGACACACACTGACTTATCCAGTTGCTGAGTAGTATATTTCCATGAGAATTTCAGACTTCTTTCTTTCTCTGCTGACGTTGTGTCCCAGCCATATTTCACTGCTGGGAATTGACTTGGAATAAGTGGAGGATTATAGGAGATGAGCTGATGTCCATCACACTATCAAGTAACTCTGTGAACCATTTTGGGGTGAAGGAAGTTTCCTTTCCTTTGATAGGTCTATGAATCCAGTTCTCCAGTTTTGGTAGAGGCAAAATTGAGACCAAGGAACAGACACTTGGTCTTTCCCCAGCTTGGCCCTACTGCCCTGCTACGTGGCATCCCTCTTGGGTTATATTGGCACTTGCTTGGTTTCTGGCATATGGTCATGTAGTATTCCTACTTCCTATTGCTTTTGAGGACTGGTATTAATGATTGTTATTTCTTAAGCATTTCATTGGGAATATACAAATGGAAAAGAAAAGGCTTTTAGCTTTTGCCCTAATAGTATAAAATTATTGAGCTTTTTCTTCTTCCCCTCCAGTATCTGCCCCTGAAACCTAGACAGACCCACACTCATGTTATCTATGCATTTTTAGGTACATATGTGATCTCCTGGGCACACTTCAGCTTGGAAAGCCCCAGCTAACTTCATCCATCCCCCAGAGATGTTGAGTGTCTCATGCCTGTGGCCCATGATCTTGGACATTCATGGCCAGCCTCACTGGTTTGTTTGACAAGCTAAGGTTGTAGGTTCAAACAGTGTTCAATGTAGTCCTTGAGCTTCATGATCTTGTGTTCTCTTGAAGATGACTTGGGTGGAACGGAGTGTGTGGAAGCCCTGAGCTTCACAGATCATTTTAGCTAAAGCAACTCAAAGCTTTTTTTACAATTTTAATTTTGAAATAATTTTAGAATTAGAAGAAAAATCCGAAAGTGGCACAGAGCTTTTCCCGTACCCTCTACCTTGTTTGCCTCTTTGTTAACATATTATAGAACCATGGTCCAATCACAAAAACTAAAAATTAACTCTCTTTATTAACTAAACTACTATTAATTAAATCAACAGATTTTGTTTGGATTCCATTGATTTTTTTCCATGACTGATTTTTTTTTTTTTTTTTTTTTTTTGAGCAGCCCAGTGTTCATCTGTTTTACCAATCAAACTCTACCAGAAGTTTTGTTTAGACACGGGTTGGATAGCTACATCTTTCCCTGGGCTTTCCCCAACCTTCCCTGTATAAACTCTCACTTCCTGCCACTTGGTCTTTAGGAAAAACAGAATAGCTTCCTTTCCTAGCATCTCAAAGCACTTTCATATTGATTACTTACCTGAATTCCTTCTTAGGTTAAGGTAAACTGAGCAGGTTTTAAAAATTTTTTTGTAGTACTGGAGATTGAACCCAGGGCCTTTACACTGAGCTACACCTTTGATCTCTTTTGATTTTGAAACAGGGTCTCGATAAGTTGCCAAGGCTGGGCTTGAACCTGTGATACTCCTGCTTCTGCCTCCCTGAGTGCTGAGATTACAGGTGTGTACCACTATGCCCAGCAGAGCAGGTATTTTTTATTTTTGCTTTATAGCTGGGAAAACCGAGGCACAGAGAGGCTGAATAACTTGTAACTTATGGGTTGAATTGAAGCAGCCCTCTTACTCTTGGTTAACATTCTTACTCTCTCCACAAGGCCCCCAGCTGAGGAACACATACCTGAGAGAGAAAAGCTGATCAGTCTCCGACTTCCTTGCCCTTGGGTGGTCTCATCTGAGCCAATGCTTTTGAAAATCTGTAGGAAGAAGGAAAATGGGAGACAAGCAAATCCAGCATTGAAATGGATACTCTCACTCCAACACAAACATGCTTAATCACAGTTATTTCTCCAGCCACAGGCAAGGAAGAGAACAGTGTTGTGATTTCATTGGACAACTATTGATTAAAATGAGCTCCTAGCAACCGAGCGTCTTTCCCAGGAATAGAGGATATGCTAGTGGGAGTGAGGGGAGCTTTTCAGGGAAATGGAAATCGACAAACATAATTACTCTAATCTTTCGTAACCACTTATGCAAACAATGTCTTTTCAGATTCAAATTTGCAAAAAATATTTATTAAGGCAGTGCCTTAAAGCAGTAGAATGATAGATCAATCGATGTTTACTGTTGTAATTACAATGTGTTCCCATTTAGCAAGGTGCAGGGTTAAACTGCATCTCCACTTATTACTATTATTTAGGGATTTCTAGGAAACTCAATTCATTAGGGAGGAGCATAAACAACAGCATTAAGAAACTACACAGAATTCTCTCTTATTGAATGAGTTGTTTTCCTGGGAAATTTCAGAACATAATTGTTACATGAGTTATCTGCAGTCTAGTAAGTATTTGCAGATCAGGTTGTCGATCATTGCTCAATATGTGTTAAATGGTTAATCAAAACAGCTAGTCTTTGATTCCATTCTCTTCTAGAAAGACTGCATTCAAAAATTATTTTGAGTATCTATTCCAAGGCAGAATGTCTTTTTAGTTATCTCTGAATGTGCTGTATGTTTGCAGAAAACAAATTTTAAGATCTAAGTATCAAGCACAATCACACAACGTCTACTTCTTAGAAGATATTCTACACCGAAGAAGGGGAAAGCAGAGAACTCAACAACCACTTGTTGAAATCCTTCTTTTTTGGAGAGTGTGTGGGTTTATTCTTTCTTTCTTCTCTCAGAATTCTTGATGATGTAAACATTGTGAGTGGATGTTTCTACATAGCTCCTGGGCTTAATGACTGGTTATCACTGGGGCTCACAGCTTCGGCTCAGGGAAATATGAAAGGATTTTTGGTTCACTTCCTCCTGCCTAAACAGGTACCCCTGGTGAGCCCAGGAGTTTGGCTGCAGCTCTGGGAAAACTTGGTTAGCTCAAGTGTGAGCTGCATCTCAGGGATGCTGGGCTGCTTAGCAGAGGGAACCACTGTGGGTTTCAGCTTGGCATCAAGTGAGGTAAGAGCTTGTCAAACCCCTCAACAGATCTCTGTCTCCTAGAGTCCCATTTGACATGGACACAGAGTAAGGCATGGCTGGGATGAAGCCTTAGCCATCTCCACCTTGGAGAGCCCATGTTTGTTCTTCCCATTGATTGGCTGACACAGAGCAGCAGTCAGCAAATAGCTGTAGCTCTATCCTCAGGCTGGACCACTCTCTAACTCTTAGAGCCTGAAGGGCATAATCAGAGCTTCAAAATTCCTGGAGGTTGTAGATTTTTCTTTTTTTTCAGAACTCTGGCTGGACAAAGGTGGTGGGAGACATGGGCAGGTTAGCCACATTCCTTTACAGTGTTGTATATGCCCAATGGAGACAGCTAACAATCAACTGTTAAAGTCTAGTTTCTAATTCTAGCTTTAAAAGGCCCACATCTAACTCATCTTCTTCTTAGAGTATAAGTTCTTTGAGAGAATAATACGAAAATTTTAATAGAGCCTTGTAGACTGAGGTCTAGAGGATGTAGATTCTAATTATATGCATTTTCTAAAAGGCATGGAATTAAACTGTGTATCTCACCCTGGCCTAAAATCAGCTTCGATATGCAATGATAATAAAGGATAGCAATTTGTTTCTTCCTTTTAAAAGGATACATATTTTGGTTCTTTACATTTAAGTATTCCTCTGCCAGCTATTCCTAGTATTTACAAAGAAGAGTTTTAAACATTATTGCATCAAAGACAGGAGGAAGGAGTGGGGACAGGTTGATCTATGAGTACTAAGTTACAGTTAGATGAGAGTAAGATGTCCCTTATTCTATTTTCTAGTAGGCTGATCACAGATAATAATATAGTACTATATATCAAAAAGCTAGAAGAAAGAATTTCTGCATGTTTTCACCATAATGATAAATGTTTGAGGATATAGATATATTTACCCTGATTAAAACATTACACAATGTAGACACGTATTGAAAATCACATGGTATTCTATAAATGTGTAGTTTTATGTTTTTATGTGTCAGTTAAAATTAATTCAAGATTTTTAAAAAACAGGACTGTAAATAGAAAAAATAGTATTTTTTCCAGAAGCCACTAAACTCAGAGGAGAGACACACATCATTTAAAACTCCACAGAATTCTACCTAAATTCTTATTTTTTAACTAGTCTTTTTACAGAACCATCTAAGGTCTAGATTGATGGTACAAAAATGGAGGTCAGAGAACCTTGGTGAACAACTTCCAGGATGAAGAAATGTTTGTCTGGTCTTGGGACAAGATCTGTCCTGACTTCCTGTTTGAGATGAGTGGCAAAGGCACATCTGAGGTTGAGGAAGCTGCTCCTTGCAGATAGACTCCCTACGACTTGGTGACTGGGAAAAAGACACAAAGCCTCAGCCACAATAGTTCTACCCTGGAACCACCTGAGGCCAGGCATATCATGGAGATCTCTTGTTTTCCCAGGTCTGATGTGGTCCCTTTGCTTTGTGCCTTCCCCAGTGATGACTGTTCCTCTAAGTACTCGGCACTGGGTTAAGTTGCTGCTTTGTCTCAGATGCAGCTCTGGCAATTTCTCTGTGGATGTTTTACACACAAATGTTTCCACAACAAAGCCTGCTTGGCAAATGGTGTGACAGATTCCAAACTGAATCTGCTGGTAGTGTGCAGAAGGTTCTGTAAGATATTGGCAAGGTTCTTGGAGTTGCATTAAGGGCTTTGGGGTTAAGTCAGGTCTATGTCTCCCACTCCCATTCTCCTGTTCTCTTTTGGAAAAGTTCCCACTATTGTCACACACTCCTAAGAGTGCAATTCAGCAGAACAGTGACAATCACTCTTCTCGCTCTTGTAGGGGACTTCTGTCTCAGCAGTATGAAGACTTGTAGCTCCTTCAGCCTTTGCTCGCCACTACATTCCAATTCTACCTTTCCTTTATGGAGCATCACTGCATGACAGATGAGATTTTCTAAGAAAACCAGTGGTGTCCAATCACACAAGCCTATATGCATATTGGTCTGCTTCCTCTACCTTCCAGCCTCCTATGACTTCTCAGATGGGCCCTTTCTCATTCCCAGAGAGGTGCACCTGGGGCTAAGGATGCCTTCCATGGGTGCAAAATTCAAAATTTTGGGCAAATTTTTATTTTAAAAACAAACACAAGGAAATGTAAAGTTGAAAGCAAAATGTGCATGAGTTGTGTAGGTTAAAGGAGGTTTCGAAGAACTCTTGGAGCTGCTTCCCCAAATGATTCAGTCCTTGGGTTTCCTCCTTCAGGCAAATGCTGGAGATTTCTCTGTAGCTCACATGGCATTTCCTGCAGGACTGTGGTTATGTCATGCTCAAGTTTGATGAAGTAACTTTATTTTATACCCATGATTATTCTCAAATAAGTACAGAATTCTCTTTTTTAAACGTTTACCTTTAATGCTCATTTTGACTTTTTTTTGGTACCAGGGATCGAACTTGGGACCTTGCGCTTGTGAGGCAGGTGGTGGAACCACTAAGCTAAATCCCCAGCCCCAACTACAGAATTCTTTTAACTAAACTGGAACAATTAAATCAACAGTGATCCCAGAAATGGAAATTCATGACTTCACTGAGCTCTTTTTCTATTCACCTGTCCAGATAATTCTGATGTGCCTATAAATGAAAAGTACAATTCTCCATGATTAATAGCAGAATCTAAAACTCAGATGCAAAGTCATGTTACTTTATAAATAACAAAACACCTGAGCCGTAGCAAACCAGAAATCTGCAGCAGAGAATTACGAATTCCACTTTATATCTGAGATCATAGGTCCTCCTAAAGTTCAATATCTTTTGCCTCCAAGATAGTGTCTATTAAATAATCTGATAGGCCTTGAAGCCACCTTAAAAAAAATAAGATTTGACACATAAATGAATAAAAAAATGTTATATATAGGGAGAGAGAGATTCCCTCTATGTCTCTCTCCACTTAGTACTTATGTGGGCTCTTTGGCTGGATCTAGGAACCAAATGAATACAAGAGCTGATTAACAAGAGAAAAGCATAAAATGTTTATTAAATTTACCTATATGTGAGGGTTTCATAAGAGACAGGAATTGGAAGAAATGATCAAAGCCCGATGGGTTTATACTTTTTAGACAGAGTATAATAAATTTGTGAAGGAATGAGAGGACAGATGGAGCTTTGGACAAGGGTAGTACATTCTAGTGATGTTACTGAGAGATCTAGGGGCGTTGGGGAGACTGGAGAGGTTCATGCAAGATGAAGGCTACTTCAGAGTTTGTGTCAGGCTCACTTCACCCCCAGTCAAGTCTTCAGTGATCACAACTGCTTTCCAGCCTTGGTATATGAAGGCCATGCCTCCTGAAAGAGTCTTTAAAGCTTGCTGCATGTAGGCAAAGACAGGCCAAATGGCCTTTCTGAAGTTATCACCTTTCTGAAGGTGATTTCACCTTGAAACGATTAACATACCAGTTAGGTATAGTTTGAGATGGCACGTCATTAACTCCTTCAACACAATGAAATATTCAGCCATAAAAAAGACAATGAAATTCTGTCATTTGCGGCAACACGGATGGAAGTGGAAAACATCATGTTAATTAAGTAAAATCAGGCAGGCACAGGAAGACAAACCCTACATATGGAAGCTAAAAGTTGATTTCACACAATTAGAATGGTGATTACCTGAAACTAGAAGGGTGTAAGGGAGAGAGGGATGGAGAGAGAAAGGGTAATGGGCACAGGGGTGCAGATAGGTAGGAGGAGCTTCTAGTGTTCTATAGCACCACAGAATAACTACGGTTGACAGCAATTAATTGAATATAAAAAAGTAGAATTT